TTTCAGTTGGTCTGTACTTTTTCACTTTACTGAATTTTTTTGTGAATTTTTTCATAATTTTGCATTATTATTAATGGACATTGGAGATGTCTCCCTTCTCAGCTGACATCTGGCACTTTGAAGCTTATGAAAGCAAGATAATTGCCCGTATAGCTCTCAGACTCACTGAAGAGAATTTGTCCAAGGGGAAATTATTATTGTTATTGTTGTGACAGTTGTTATTATTGTTTTACTTTCTGGAATTCAGTTCTTGCTGGAAATTAACATGATGCAAATTGAGACTTTTATCCCCCTTTCACTCTTTATATTCAAATGGACTGTTCTTTTCCTTCCTTGAAATCCATGTTTCCCCTACAGCCATTATATTTTTTAATTAAAACTATTTCACATTTTCCTGCACATTGGATTCATGTTTTAAATATATCCTTATCTATTTGAGCAATCCAGAGCAGTAAAGATCCATGATGATTGAATGTTCAGTTGGATGTGGTCTGGAAAAATGTGCCTGTTTGATACTTCTATTTCCCATGATAGAATCTATTGTGCTAAGTAGATCTAAGTATATTTTCAGGGATGAAACAGAACCAGGAAGTATATGAGCAATTGAGAATTTGAAGAGTTATGATTGATTGATTGAGTGATAAATCTTTATAAGGCTTATTAAAAGTAGTTTGTTCGTATGAAATAAGGAAGAACAATTGTGTGAAATAAAGGAGATGCATTTTACTCAAGAGTTTATTTAATGGTCTCCAGATCTATTGAATTGAATATGTTATCTAACCAAGTGTGATTATACACATGAGGACATTGTATCTTGTGAAGAAGCTCTTGATGAACATGCAAAGCAAACAGAATCATCATCATCATAATACTAATAATGGGGAGTAAGAAAAATAATGATTCTATCTGTCATAAAACTGATTAGCCACCTACAAGTATGAGTAGGTACAATGAGCTGGATCAATTTAGAGTAGATAATTTCTGGAATGATGGTATTGAACACTGAGCTGAAGTCCCTGAAAAGGACCAATGCATAAATTCAATATGTTGCCGAATGTGGTGTAATGATATAATGACAGCATCATCTGCCGATCTATTGGCTCAGTAGGCAAACTGTAAGGGGTCTAACAGATGACTTGTATTAAAGTGCAACATATCTTTTATCAGTACCAACCATTGATCGTTTGACTGGAATTATGTAAGTTATTACCCAACACGTCTTGAGGGTATCTAGCTGGACATGACTAATCAGAAATAATTTCTAAATTATTTATTTATTATGATTGTTGATTCTTCCTTTCATCATTTTATAGACCCCCTGAAACCAGACAATGTAAACTTGGTCAACTATGACAGAGATAGCACTTTGAAAGCTTCATGGAACTCAGCAGCTGGTGAAACAGAATCCTATTTGGTGATTCTGCAGAAAGGAGACAGCAGCATTACAGTCAGAAATGTATCTGTGGCAGGGAACAGCACATTCATCATCTTTACTGACCTGGCCCCTGGAAACCACTACACTGCTTGGGTTACAGCTATTGCTGGGCCCCATAAAGCAACAGCAAAAAGCAACTCTGCCTGGACTTGTAAGTAAGAGCTGAATTTCAGATCCTAAAGGGGAAAAAAGGGGAGGGGGAGGTTTGCCAAGTAACCTCTAAAATAGCTGCCTGCAAATGTTTGATTTGAGGGGTATACTGGTTGAGAGAAGTAAAGATGCATTATCTTCCTCCCAGAGATTGTCCTCCAGGATTGTGGGAGGTGGGTGGATATATATTTGCATTTGGTTCCTGGGGGCAGCACTTAGGACATTGTGGAATGGGTGTCAAGAGCCTGCAAAAGCTGTGAAATAAAGTGGGTTTGCCCAAGATACACAGGCAGATTTTTAAAAAAAATCTTGAATTTTTTTTTAAAAAATGATGTTTGCTTATTGTAAAGAATATTCTACAGTTTTGTTGTATTTTCAAAATCAAAATGGAAAATATATGATCTTGATTTTTGGCAGTTACAGGAGAAGAAAGCGCAAGAGATTGCAACCAAAGGTGATCCACCCCCTGCTAGATTAGATTCCAATCAGTTCCTATGATGATGGTGGACACAATGGGCCTGGTAACCTTTGCCTAGTTTGAAATTACAATTTGGTATGGTACCAAATAATCTCCCCTGGATTCCAGTAAGGAGAAGGAGAATGAACGTGTGATTTGAATAGCAGGATGCCAGAACAGACAACCATTATAGGGTTTGTCAGGAGGCCTTTTTTTTTGTACTCTGCCATTTCTCAGATCATAGTTTCCCATCTTGGATTGTTCCAGATCTTTTATAAGGAAGTCTGCATACAACATTCTGGGTTTTTTCCCCTTCCCTTTCAGATCCCATGGCTCCATCTAGTGGGAATTTATTGAATCAAGGCAGTGCCTACATGCTTCAGGCTCATTGGCAAGAGGCAGCTGGGACTGGTTATGTGATAACGTTATATACCATGAAGCCCCTTGTAATGTTGCAAAACAGTTCATTGCCTAAGCAGTCCTCCAGCCAACTTTATGAAGGGTTAAGACCAGGCACTCAATATGCCTTGGAGATCTGCACGGCTGCAGGCCCCCACATTTCTCTGCCCTTCCGTCTCAGCAACTGGACATGTGAGTGTCAGGAGAGCATCATAGTTCTGTTGTGCAGAAGGTACCAAGAAGGGGCACAGAAAGTGCAAAAATGGGAGGTGGGGAATACATCAGGGACACAAAAACTGCAGTTTTCCAGTATCCCTTTTTATTGCAAAGTTTTGTGCATTCTAAACTTGGTTGTCTGCTTGCCATCATTTCTTTATCCAAGCTAAGTAGCAGCACTGATGTTACCTAGCTAGGTAATGAAATGAATACATTTCATTTCACTTAGCTTTACAGTGTTTCTTCCAAACAACATCAGAAAAATAAGTATAGACATTGTATCTGTGTACATGTATCTACACAATAAAATGATGTAACCCATCCTCTTGGCTTGAATAGGAAAGTTAAAATCAACACAACTTCTCAACCTTAACTCTTATGCAAGAGCTTGCAACCATAACAGCCTTAATGGGAAAGGGTGGAAATTCTAAAGGAGAGCAATAGGACTCACCAAAGGTACTTGGCATAGCTCATGCACAACTGCCCTGCTGAGTAAGAGAAGCTTCTCCTGTGCCTTTGCCTTTGAAAAGGAAGCCTCTCTATTTAAGACCAAGCTACCATTTTACAAAACATGAGGAAGCTTTCCTCTCCCCCCCACCAAGTGGGAGAGGTCAAAATGTTCGGTGTTTCATTTGTTAAAATAAGGATTTTGGGTGAGGCAAAAAGAATGTTTCAACTCTTGCAGGTAGTTCTCCCTCGTCCCTTTAAATAGCCCAGAGTAAAATGTGCCCCTTGAGTTCACTTTTGCCGAGAGAATTGTGCATTTTTGTTCTAGCAATTACGGTCTTTTCTAATATTGCAACACAAAAGCTGATTTGATTTTTTTTTTAAAGTTCTAATGAGCATAGGAGCCCACATAAGATTTGGGGGTTGGCATTCCTTGCTGTACATGGCTTCATTTTACAGAGGGTGAAGAAAATGCATATAATTCCNATGCAAAATCAACACCGTGGTAACATTTGGGAGGATGTTAAGATGAGGGCTTCAGGTATGATCAGTGAAACTGTAACATCTTGTTATGGATGCTTTCTCTCATTGACAACTTTTTTTCAACTTATATTTTATTTAAGTACCATTACCTGTGCGGGATGTTATCTTGAGTCATGAAAGTCCCTCAGTATTATTGGCCTCCTGGAGTGAACCCCCAGGTGGGAAAGATGTCTACCAGTTGGTTCTCTACCACATCGATTCACAGGCTCTTGTCAAGAATACAAGCATTGCTAGAGGAACCACTACTTTCCGCTTTGAGAAGCTTTTACCGGGCAGTGAATACGCCCTCCGTATCACCACATGGGCTGGATATTACAAAGCAAGCACCAATGCACGAGGATGGACAGGTATTGGGAAATGGGTAATGGGTAGGGAAATGGATAACCAGTAGGCTAGAGAACAAAATCAATTGTGTGAAAGTGAAAGTATTACTATTGAGCCGAGGTGGCACAGTGGTTAGAGTGCAGTACTGCAGGCTGCTTCAGCTGACTGCTAGCTGCAGTTCTGCACTTCAAATTTCACTAGCTCAAGGTTGACTCCTTCGGAGATGAGTAAAATGAGGACCCAGATTGTTGGGGGCAATATGCTGACTCTGTAAACTGCTTAGAGAGGGCTGTAAAAGCACTATGAAGTGGTATATATTGTAAGTCTAAGTGCTATTACTATTAACAGAATCCATCCAGCTATACCAATAGGCCCCTGTCACCTGATTGTTCATGTTTGCTTCATAAATAATTTGTGGGGTAGGAAAGTAAGTCAGCATTATTGAGCCAGACTTGATAAAATCATAAGAAGCTCCTGTGATAGGACAGAAGATGCTATATCATCAAGACAAAATTTCTTTTCTTTTGAAGCAAATCAGCACAGTTTGAAGTATATCTGAAAGATTTTAGTGCAGAACCCCTCCAAAAGTTTTCTCAAATTGTACTATTAAACGGTACAAGAGAGAAACAATTCTAATGAATTATAAGTGAAATATATTTCATTTCATTAAGTTTAACAGATGTCAACATAATTAAGGCAACTTTCATATTTGTTCAAATCAAAACAAACCACTCAAAGGCCGTTTTGGCCTAGAAAAGGTATATGTCAGTAGGTTGAATTTTTTTAAAAAACTTTCAGATTCAGGTAGTTTATGAACGTATTTATAAGGTAGTTGCAGTTTTATGTTCCTGTCAGTGAGGCTACTTGTTTCCATAAATTTGTGAGAAAAATGGATTCCTCCTTGGAATGATGAGTCTCTCTGGCTCTCTTTTGTCCCAACAGCTCCCAGTCCTCCCAAGGCCCTGACATTCCAGAACAACAATTCCAGCTCCAGTTTGACTGCCTCATGGACTAACTCAGAGGGAGCAGAATGGCTGTATTTCACTCTGCAGAACCTGCACACCCCTGCTGACAGCAGGACAGTGTCACTTAAGAGAGGCCTAACTAACTACACCTTCCAGCACTTGGAGCCTGGAACATCCTATCACCTGGAGGTTAAAGCTTTGTCTGGGCCTTACCTGGTTAAGGGTCCCAATATCACTGTTTATACATGTAAGCATGCAGCAATCTATTTGCTTACAATACTAGGAAGTGGGAAGACCCTATGAATCAGATGAATTTCAGAAAGAGGTTTACCTGTGTGAGAATAGAGAGTTTCTGTTCTAAAAGGCCAAAAGCTTTATTTATTATTGCTTTATTACTGATAGCAAATACATTCTGTATGAATAGATGGAATTGTTAAGGCTGGTTATAAAGAGAGACTTATGGTGTTTGTTCTCTTCTTACATTTCCCTAGTGTAGTAGTTCCTCCAGAATTGTCCTTTTGAATAAGTAATATATATATATATATATTTTATTTATGTAGTCCCAAGTTTAGAGTTTCAAAAAGCTAACTGGATGTACTTTCACTCAATTTACCTGCTGCAACTGATGCTTAATTTTTAAAGCAGGCACTCCCTTCAGATCCCTTTGCCTAGCATTAAGCTATCTCTGTATTCTAATACTAATATTTTCTTTCAGAATTTGAAAACTTTGATATTTTGTTACTTTTTCTATTTATTTTTCATCAGTATGACTATTTCCTAGTCGTGCTACATCTATGAACCATGCTCACCCCCCCCCCCGCCTTTCAATAATTAGTGTCTGGAACGTTGTGTTTCAGGTATCTGTATTTTTTCAGTTGGTCTGTACTTTTTCACTTTACTGAATTTTTTTGTGAATTTTTTCATAATTTTGCATTATTATTAATGGACATTGGAGATGTCTCCCTTCTCAGCTGACATCTGGCACTTTGAAGCTTATGAAAGCAAGATAATTGCCCGTATAGCTCTCAGACTCACTGAAGAGAATTTGTCCAAGGGGAAATTATTATTGTTATTGTTGTGACAGTTGTTATTATTGTTTTACTTTCTGGAATTCAGTTCTTGCTGGAAATTAACATGATGCAAATTGAGACTTTTATCCCCCTTTCACTCTTTATATTCAAATGGACTGTTCTTTTCCTTCCTTGAAATCCATGTTTCCCCTACAGCCATTATATTTTTTAATTAAAACTATTTCACATTTTCCTGCACATTGGATTCATGTTTTAAATATATCCTTATCTATTTGAGCAATCCAGAGCAGTAAAGATCCATGATGATTGAATGTTCAGTTGGATGTGGTCTGGAAAAATGTGCCTGTTTTGATACTTCTATTTCCCATGATAGAATCTATTGTGCTAAGTAGATCTAAGTATATTTTCAGGGATGAAACAGAACCAGGAAGTATATGAGCAATTGAGAATTTGAAGAGTTATGATTGATTGATTGAGTGATAAATCTTTATAAGGCTTATTAAAAGTAGTTTGTTCGTATGAAATAAGGAAGAACAATTGTGTGAAATAAAGGAGATGCATTTTACTCAAGAGTTTATTTAATGGTCTCCAGATCTATTGAATTGAATATGTTATCTAACCAAGTGTGATTATACACATGAGGACATTGTATCTTGTGAAGAAGCTCTTGATGAACATGCAAAGCAAACAGAATCATCATCATCATAATACTAATAATGGGGAGTAAGAAAAATAATGATTCTATCTGTCATAAAACTGATTAGCCACCTACAAGTATGAGTAGGTACAATGAGCTGGATCAATTTAGAGTAGATAATTTCTGGAATGATGGTATTGAACACTGAGCTGAAGTCCCTGAAAAGGACCAATGCATAAATTCAATATGTTGCCGAATGTGGTGTAATGATATAATGACAGCATCATCTGCCGATCTATTGGCTCAGTAGGCAAACTGTAAGGGGTCTAACAGATGACTTGTATTAAAGTGCAACATATCTTTTATCAGTACCAACCATTGATCGTTTGACTGGAATTATGTAAGTTATTACCCAACACGTCTTGAGGGTATCTAGCTGGACATGACTAATCAGAAATAATTTCTAAATTATTTATTTATTATGATTGTTGATTCTTCCTTTCATCATTTTATAGACCCCCTGAAACCAGACAATGTAAACTTGGTCAACTATGACAGAGATAGCACTTTGAAAGCTTCATGGAACTCAGCAGCTGGTGAAACAGAATCCTATTTGGTGATTCTGCAGAAAGGAGACAGCAGCATTACAGTCAGAAATGTATCTGTGGCAGGGAACAGCACATTCATCATCTTTACTGACCTGGCCCCTGGAAACCACTACACTGCTTGGGTTACAGCTATTGCTGGGCCCCATAAAGCAACAGCAAAAAGCAACTCTGCCTGGACTTGTAAGTAAGAGCTGAATTTCAGATCCTAAAGGGGAAAAAAGGGGAGGGGGAGGTTTGCCAAGTAACCTCTAAAATAGCTGCCTGCAAATGTTTGATTTGAGGGGTATACTGGTTGAGAGAAGTAAAGATGCATTATCTTCCTCCCAGAGATTGTCCTCCAGGATTGTGGGAGGTGGGTGGATATATATTTGCATTTGGTTCCTGGGGGCAGCACTTAGGACATTGTGGAATGGGTGTCAAGAGCCTGCAAAAGCTGTGAAATAAAGTGGGTTTGCCCAAGATACACAGGCAGATTTTTAAAAAAAATCTTGAATTTTTTTTTAAAAAATGATGTTTGCTTATTGTAAAGAATATTCTACAGTTTTGTTGTATTTTCAAAATCAAAATGGAAAATATATGATCTTGATTTTTGGCAGTTACAGGAGAAGAAAGCGCAAGAGATTGCAACCAAAGGTGATCCACCCCCTGCTAGATTAGATTCCAATCAGTTCCTATGATGATGGTGGACACAATGGGCCTGGTAACCTTTGCCTAGTTTGAAATTACAATTTGGTATGGTACCAAATAATCTCCCCTGGATTCCAGTAAGGAGAAGGAGAATGAACGTGTGATTTGAATAGCAGGATGCCAGAACAGACAACCATTATAGGGTTTGTCAGGAGGCCTTTTTTTTTGTACTCTGCCATTTCTCAGATCATAGTTTCCCATCTTGGATTGTTCCAGATCTTTTATAAGGAAGTCTGCATACAACATTCTGGGTTTTTTCCCCTTCCCTTTCAGATCCCATGGCTCCATCTAGTGGGAATTTATTGAATCAAGGCAGTGCCTACATGCTTCAGGCTCATTGGCAAGAGGCAGCTGGGACTGGTTATGTGATAACGTTATATACCATGAAGCCCCTTGTAATGTTGCAAAACAGTTCATTGCCTAAGCAGTCCTCCAGCCAACTTTATGAAGGGTTAAGACCAGGCACTCAATATGCCTTGGAGATCTGCACGGCTGCAGGCCCCCACATTTCTCTGCCCTTCCGTCTCAGCAACTGGACATGTGAGTGTCAGGAGAGCATCATAGTTCTGTTGTGCAGAAGGTACCAAGAAGGGGCACAGAAAGTGCAAAAATGGGAGGTGGGGAATACATCAGGGACACAAAAACTGCAGTTTTCCAGTATCCCTTTTTATTGCAAAGTTTTGTGCATTCTAAACTTGGTTGTCTGCTTGCCATCATTTCTTTATCCAAGCTAAGTAGCAGCACTGATGTTACCTAGCTAGGTAATGAAATGAATACATTTCATTTCACTTAGCTTTACAGTGTTTCTTCCAAACAACATCAGAAAAATAAGTATAGACATTGTATCTGTGTACATGTATCTACACAATAAAATGATGTAACCCATCCTCTTGGCTTGAATAGGAAAGTTAAAATCAACACAACTTCTCAACCTTAACTCTTATGCAAGAGCTTGCAACCATAACAGCCTTAATGGGAAAGGGTGGAAATTCTAAAGGAGAGCAATAGGACTCACCAAAGGTACTTGGCATAGCTCATGCACAACTGCCCTGCTGAGTAAGAGAAGCTTCTCCTGTGCCTTTGCCTTTGAAAAGGAAGCCTCTCTATTTAAGACCAAGCTACCATTTTACAAAACATGAGGAAGCTTTCCTCTCCCCCCCACCAAGTGGGAGAGGTCAAAATGTTCGGTGTTTCATTTGTTAAAATAAGGATTTTGGGTGAGGCAAAAAGAATGTTTCAACTCTTGCAGGTAGTTCTCCCTCGTCCCTTTAAATAGCCCAGAGTAAAATGTGCCCCTTGAGTTCACTTTTGCCGAGAGAATTGTGCATTTTTGTTCTAGCAATTACGGTCTTTTCTAATATTGCAACACAAAAGCTGATTTGATTTTTTTAAAAAGTTCTAATGAGCATAGGAGCCCACATAAGATTTGGGGGTTGGCATTCCTTGCTGTACATGGCTTCATTTTACAGAGGGTGAAGAAAATGCATATAATTCCGTAATTATTATGCCTGGTAGACTTTAGGCATGGATTATTTCAGAAGTGGGTACTACTTCATCACTGGAGGCTTTTAAGAAGAGACTGGACAGCCACTTGTCTGGAAAGGCATAGGGTCTCCTGCTTTTGTGTGTGCATGTGTGTGTGTACTAGAACAGTGGTCTCCAACCTTGGCAACTTTAAGACCTGTGGACTTCAACTGCCAGAGTTCCTCAGCCACCAAAGCTTTGCTGGCTGAGGAACTCTGGCAGTTGAAGTCCACAGGTCTTAAAGTTGCCAAGGTTGGAGCCCACTGTACTAGAAGATATCCAAGGTCCTTTCCAACTTTTATTTAGTTATTCTGTTACTAATTTTAGATTAGATAGATAAAGCATCTATAGGGAGAACATGCAAGCATTAGCGGGTTGTTTTTATGCACAGTCTGTTCCAATAACAAGTAAGATCCAGCTGTTCAGAGCCTTGTGATCAAGACTTGCCTGAGAATCAACTAGTCTCGGATTAGGATTCCTTGTTTCCTTTAGGACAGATGTTATTAGGCAACTGGTTAGGAAATTTCTAGGCAACTGTCTAAGAAATGACTTTGGTCAATTGTAAGAATTTGTTTATAATGTGTAACCTCTCTGATGTTGGTTCCTTTCTCCTTCCTTCAGATCCTTTGCCTCCAGAGCACCTGAAACTCAGCAATGATGGTCATAGAATGAGGTCGCTCCATGCTTCTTGGCAGAATCGCTTCAAAAGCGGAGGCGTCTGTGTAGGAGCTCTTCTGGAAACCAAGTCCCAATTAGTGATTAAAAATTTGACTCTGGCAGAGACTAATATCACCTTTGAAATGCTAATCCCAGGACGTCAGTATACTCTGAAGCTGGCAAGAGTGGCTGGACCATTTCAGTCTCATGTTCAAATAGTTAGTGACTGGACATGTGAGTATGCCGTCATTCTCAGTAGTATGTGAACCAAGTATCTTTCTCCATTGTGACACTTTTCAGCTATGCTCAGTTACAGTCCCATCACACCAACCCCCCATTAACCATACTGAGAGATGCAGTCAAACATATAAAATTATTGCACTGATGAAAAGTTGCGGCAGAGGATTTCTCCTTTTCTTGTTTGACTTTCAGTGAGTTTTATACAAGTAGAAAAAGTATTAGCAAACATAATCATTTCATTGTAAATAAAGACAGGAAGAGGGAAAGTAAAGAGGTAGAAATGAATTTGAACTTTATAAGGAACTTTATAAGGATGATTTTTGCTGAGGTAAGAACTTGATTTGATTTAGAAAGGTAACAGTATTTCATCCAAATTCAACAGATTGCCCAAGATTTCAGATATCGTTTATGAGTTTTGTTTTTGTAATTTGTTAAAAAAGTAATTATATCACCATAATTCATATTAATAGGCTAATTGTATCTTAATTCATATCAGTAGTTTACAATTAATAGTTTACAAGGCAAATCCCAAAGGTGCTTTTTCAGGAGGAAACTGGATTTTCTGGATGGTGGGGATTGGAAGGATTTATATCATCCAGTCAGATCTCAAGAAGCTTCTTGAATAAGAAGCAAAACTTCCAGAAAAGTCCACTTACCTCTTGAAAAAGCACCTTTGGGACAACCATGACCTGGATGACTGAGAATCTCCATAGACATTTACAAGGGAAGAATAAATCTAGGGTTCCTATATCTGGATGGGTTTTTGTATCTCTTTTCTGTTATCTATCTGGCTATTTATAGCCCAGAAACAATGCATTGATTAAATGACCCTTGTATATGTGATCTTTACTACTTTTATTGAGTGTTCCAAGATATGTCACATTTTTACTTAGAAATCTTTCCTTTCAGATCAACATCTCTTAATCACCTGAATTCTCCATCCTGGAATGGTACAGCTTAGTAATAGATAAACCTCTTTCTTTCAGATCCTTTGGTGCCATCAGGAGTGATGCTGGCTAGTAGCAAGTGGGCCGGCAGCCTTTTTGCTTCTTGGGACCAGCCTCTGGGTGACAGTGACCAGTTCTTCCTGCGATTCTACAGTCTGGAACATTCTTTGCAGAGGAACATCACAATTGGGCCAAGCATGCTAAATTTTACATTTGAAGGTCTTCAACCTGGCAGTCAGTACTTTCTGGAGGTTACAGCAATGGCAGGACCTTACCGAGCTTCATCTCAGGTGGTTTCTGCATGGACATGTGAGTATTCAATGTGTTTCTGCAAATAATGAGACTTTCCTGAACACACAGTTTTTATTGTAGACTAAGATCTCAGTAAGGCTAAGAATGTAATGTGTGATGTCGAGGCTACTCATTCATAAGCTGTTGCAATATCCTTGCTCTTGCTTGACAAATTACAGTAATCTTTCATTTCCATTAATCTGCAAAAGGAATTTAGCATTTATCTTGTTACTAGGGGAAGCATTTATTATCATCTTGTGCTTAGTGGACAGAACATTCCAATAAGATGAACTTTAGGAATGTACAGTATTTAAATAAAAATATATTTGAAGTTATAGCTATTGTAGTGTCATCCCCCAAGTTCTTCTGTGGTGTCTTATTATGGTAATGAGATGCTCCTTGAAGAATGAATGAAGAATGTCAGGTGTGCATATCAAGAAGGAACATTCCCAGCAGGATCACCCAAGATGTGAAGATTTTCCTAGCTGCTCAGCTAAAGCAAGCAGACAGTTAATTCTGGTCAGCAGCAGTATAGAGAAATATTGAAAGTTTACCTCACTGACAATAACAAAAGAATAATTTCATACAGTATGCAAGAAGGAAATTGAAAATTACTCGTGCATTTTATCAAGATAGGTAATTGGTTAATTAATGCCATCAGGTATTGGCATTAGATGATGACGAGATGATGGCCTCTCATTTCAAATGGCACTCAGCATGCTATTGAAAAATTGCTGATGAACTTTTGAATACTAATGGTATTTATGATGTAGCTAAATTAAAAATGTTAGGATGTTAAGATCATGCTGCTATGCAGAAAAAAAAGCATAAGACAGAATTACAGTGACAACATGGAATATAGGAAGCAGGAATATAGGAAAACTCAACACCATGAAAAATAAATGGAATCAGCTAGTTGTTGACATCTTAGGCATCAGTATATAGAAATGTAATTGGACTGTCAGAATATAATATTTACTACATGAGATGTGAATACAAAGAAAAAGTTCATATCAGAATGATATAGGAAGAGCATCACTTAGGTATAATACAATCAATGATTTAATAATGACAGTTAGACTTTGGGAACAATCCTTTAATATGAAGATTATTATCTAACCTTGAGTTAGTATACTGAAAGTCACAAATGGACTGTTAATAACTGATTCAAAGAAATCAAATAAAGATGGAGTCTATTGAAATTTTATATGGTAGAGATGACAACTTCCAAGTTGTATGTTAGAAAATATTCCCTTTTTACAAGAACTCCCAGTACTGGAAGGTGAAGTTCAATTAACACTTTGATAATTATCTATTTAGAAGGCTTCAAAAATAAATATGTCTACATAAGTATTTTTCCTTAGTTCTAAGTTGCTTCTCCCCTTGATTAGTTTCCACTCATTGCTTCCTGACAGAACAATCAATCAGTGGAGCAACTTGCCTCCAGAAGTTGTGAATGCTCCAACACTAGAAGTTTTTAAGAAGATGTTGGATAACTATTTGTCTGAAATGGTACAGGTTTTCCTGTCTAGGCCGGGGGGTAGGACTAGAAGACCTCCAAGGTCCTTTTCAACTCTGTTATTCTATTCTATTCTATTCTTTAGTGTGATCTGATCAGTTTCAGGCAGCATTCCCCCACCTCCCTTTTGTAATAAACTACTTAAGGTCACAGCTCAGCTTGTTAACTTGTAGTATGCTGCCTGGAAAAGCATCCCAGAAAAAAGAGTTAGCTTCTTTAAGCAATTCCTCCAGCCTCCAAGGGGTTAAAATGAGTGAAAATAGGTCAAGCACAGGACCCTGCATGAGAGAATTTATTTGAATAAGATAGCAACAACCAATAATCTTTGCAGCATATCTCTGTGTCTGTCTCTGTGTCTGTCTCTGTG